GTGAACCGAAAGGTATAGCAGGCAGGACAACTGCAAACGGATAATGTGCAAGGAAAGAAATGTCTAAACCCTAAAACTTGCACTGTAAACCTGTAGTGTGTCCAATGTACACTCAAGGAAGAGTGTACTTGTACACACTTGGCTTTGTAGTGTGAACCTTACGCTCGAGAACATCCCTCAACGTAAAATTTCATTCCCTGTGCCCTGTCGTTCGGGGATGAGGGCGAAGGGGAAAAAATAGAAGGAATGAGGAATATGGAAAGGAAACTGCTGAGACAGCATTCTCGTGTATTCAGCGTTATTTGCACAACGAGCGCGCGTCAGCGAGCCCGAAATTGGTCGATCATTACCAGAAACGAGAAAACGAACGTTTCATGTCGGCCAGCCGACGGCTTCATTAGACGGAGACGCGAGGACAGCGACGCGCAGCATCCGCGTGTTTTTTTTCTGCCTGTCATGTTTTCCTCGATGACTTACTAGTCGCCCGACGGGGTACACTCAAACAGACCAATTTTTATTCACACCTAAATCGTCCGGTCGCTTCCTCCCGCCCGCCATTCCCCTCGCGACTCCTCCCTCCGCGTCATCGGGGTCATAGACCTTTTATTCAGAGCAGTCATAGTAGCTCAAAACATCGCTCAGTGTTGGCAACCTATTAATTGTGATTGGAATTTAAATTTCATGCGACAATATTCGATGTTTATAAAAATCGAGTGCCTTTGCTAGATTTCTTAGGAGGCCGCCGAGAAAAATTCTGGTGTGGCGGTTTTGATGGAAAATATACTTTAAAATTCACGCATTAAAGAATTTTCCTCTGCGTCTTTACTTCCAGCCTTGTCTAGTTTTCTTATTTAGTTATTTAGTTACATTTTTTTTCGGTTTTGTCCCTCTTCGCATCATCCGTTTGTTTGATTACTGCACCGAGAAGACGCTTCTGCTTCGCCACGCCCCGCCCAGCCCGGTCCGCACCGTACCGCCACTCTCCGCCCTGTTTAGCAGCACTGTTCTGTCGGATGTTATGACGGATGTCATAATGTCCAAAGGATTTAGTTGTGATTACCGACGTTTTTGCCCAGTTTTCTTTCCATAGTTATCTTTCAGTAGATTGGGAGACGAGTCAGCAGGGATGCTGGAAAGACTGTCTCGACCTCGGCAGTTTTAAGTTGAAGCGAGGAAAAAAATTGGACCAGTTGATTACTGCGTGCCCTTGCATTGTGCGAGCACGGAGTTAGGTAACTTTATTTCATATAGAGCATCATATGTCGATTTGAGGCTCGCCGATGATAATATAATATCCTCCTTGTTTGAAGAAGATTTCGAGGAACTGGAAGGAGACAATAAGCACTCTGTGTCCGTCCAGAAGGCGAACTGGTACGACACGGAAAAGAAACGACGATAATGTGATAAAAAAATCAAGTCCGGTCCGGACCTGCTGCTGATGCGGATATAATAGGCGCGAATCACACAATATTTTTTAAAAAGCAATGACCCGAGTTCTGATGCAATGTGCGTTAATGCAAAAATTGCAGAGATCTTTGCAGCTTGTGCTTGAAACATATAATAACATTCGCGTGTTGTCGCCCCTCTAAAGTTTACGATGGAATTGGGATTCGCTTGCGAAAGTGCAGGGCGCCTAGAGATGCAGTATTAAGAGAGGATGGTTGACACGCGGGTGTAGTTAGTTCCGCGACGCGCGGGACGAGGAGGGGCGTGATGGGCAGTGTGGCAAAGAGACGGAGGGGAGGCGGGGGGTGACGCGGGGCGCGGGATGGCTCCCTCTTTAGCGGCTGTCAACGGTGACTGGCCGTTTTGGCGGGCATTGCTGGACAGGCTGTAGGCCTGGACACCGCGGTGGTGGCTGCGGCGGGGCGCGGCGGGGCGCAGCATCTGCTCTGCGCGGGCCGCGTGCGGGGTGCTGCTGGGCGCCTCCGGACGCGTCCCGCCCGCGGGCCAATGGCACGTCGTGTTCGCGGGCTTACGTTGTGTTTACGGTATCGCCGCGCCGCTCTGCGCCGCTCTGCTCCGCGCCACGCCGCCCCGGCACCACCCGGCACAGGCCGACGCAGATTGGAATTCGAAACACATTTATAACCGGCCATTTGGAGCTTCTTGTTGGACTAGCCCAGCAGCAGGCACGCCGGTCCCCAGGGACGCTTCTCCCTGCTCCTTCCGGCGAGCGAGAGAGCTCTAGCGAGGGAGGGGCGAGGCAAGGCAAGGGCGCCTTGAGGCAGTTCTTCTTTGGTGCGTTGACAGACTCTCTTGGCTCAAACGCCGTGCTTTCCATGTTTAATCGCGATCCCATACGCCTGCTCTATAAACGCCGCGGTCGGTTTGCTCGCCAAGATTTTGGCAATCCCTTTTGAATGCCTTCTTTCGGAGTTCTTTGAGAGACTGACCATTTTTGGACTTCATGTAGGCCACTTTAGAAGGCCGAATTTTGGCATTAAAAGTGGCCGTAAATAAGAGACCCAAAACTGCAGTCTTCAGGGTTGCCAAAATTTGGTATTCAAAAGTGAGTTCCAAAAGTTTGGCGAGCCAATGGGCCATGACGTTAAGAGTGTGCGCCACTCCACCCACCCAGACTCGCAAGCCGTCGTTGTGGAGTGCAGATCAATACGTCGGGATCGGCGTAATTTATTTCGTGCGAAAAGCAAAAACAAACGATTTCCCATAGCGTCGGCGGCTAGGTGGAGGAGGCGTCGGCGCCGTGCTGCTGTTCATCAAAAGAGATTGCAGATCTATGGCTGCGGCGATTGTTGTAATTTATTTAGCAGACGAAAGTGATCAATCGCACGCGTAATGCACAGGCACGAGATGAACTCTGCCTTCGTTGTGTCAAGTACCTTAGCCGACGATGCGATGCTTGGCTCGTTTGCTTGTAAGGTACGGTCAATGATTATGGGTGGGTGAAGTGTGCGCTCATTTTTCTTCTCCCTTCTCACGTTTGGTAATCTGATGAATTCATGTGAAATACGATTGAAAATGGAAACGTAATTTACTCCGATTTTTCGACATGTGTCCTATTATCCCCTTAATGACCTTTTCCTTTGATGAAGTGGAATTTCACATTTGGGGGTATGCGAGGGGATGTGGACTTTATGACAGTTTGGTCCGTTAAAACAGTACTTAATTCAGGAATGCACTTAAAAGTTTACGTAGCAAATTTTTGTCCGGACCAACAATAAGCACAGACGAAAACCAAACGAAAAATCTTTGAAACAGGCAGTCTATAAAACTTCCCCAAACGATCACACATTAGTTGCGTCAGAGTTTTTATCTGCACAAGCGCCGGCCGGCGCCTGCCTCCCAGCTTTAACAGGTGACGTGCGCAGGCGCGCGTAATGAGTGACACGGAGTGGCACGCGGAGTGGCACGCGGAGTGGCACGCTAACGGGAGCCTTGGTGTTGTCGCGGTACGAGCGCAAGCGAGCGCTGCCTGCCTGCCAGCAGCCGGGGCACTGGCCCACCAGCCAGCGTACCATTCGGCGCTCATGCGGACCTGCACTCTCAGATTTTTTTTTATTTTTTTTTAAACGAAGTGAGCATGCAAAAAATATTTCAGCATGAACATTTTTTCCATTTGCCACAATTTGGTGGCGTAAAATTAGTGTTAAGATATACAACAATGGTCTAAAGAATGAATTCCTTAATCTCGCCAATTTTTTCGCTTGTCAAAATCTGTGTCGTAAATAAATTTTGAAAAAGAAAAAGTTTTGTGGTCTTTCGGATGGATAAGAAGAGCAGTTTTAGGGGGCAAAGAGCAGCCTCATAGTCGAGGCTGCATCTAGGAGAGCAAGGAGTCCGCAAGGAGGTGTGCGCATGTAAATATGCCGTGTAGGTACGTACCTTCATTGTGTAACAAAGTTGTCATCTCCTCGCAGCCTCCGCCGTACAGTCACGCAGGCCTGTCACACCGTCACGTCGCCCGGCACGCCGCGCCGCACGGCTAATGTTGCCCGGAAAACGGACCGCCCTGGAATGCGATATGAGAGACCAAGCCAAAGGGGATTACCCCCCGGAGGGGAGGGGAGGGGCCGGGCTTTTGTTGGCAAAACTGAGCTGATTACAGGAGCCGTGCCGGCGGACAGAATCAGTTTGTATGAAGACATGAAGACGCGGGCCCGGCGGGGAGAAAGTAGAACTGTCAGTCGCGCCGCGGGCCCGCGCCGGCGCCGTGGTGCTGTAACCAAGGGCGGCGACGTGAACTTGAACTTGGACTGCTTGTTGTTCCCAGCGAGTGGCGGTGGCGGCGGCGGTGGCGCGGTGGGGGAAAAGACGTTCTGCCTGTCGCCGCCCAAGATGGCCCTGGCGCTGGCCGCGCTGGGCTCGCTGCTTCTCTGCGCCGTGGCCGCGGCGCTCTGGTCGCTGCTGCACCGTCGGCACCGCGAGTCGCCCCTCGGGTCGGCGCCACTCCGGGCCCTGCTCCGCCGACACTTCCTGCGGCTGCGCGATCACGGCAGCCACGGATCGTCGGCGTCCCTCGGCGAGAGGAACGTCCTGGTACGCGTCCAGGACTCGCCCTTCGGCCACCCGGCCGCGCCCAGCCCTGGCGGCAGCCCCGGTGGCCCCGGAGATGGCAGGGGCGCCCTCTGGCAGGACAAGCTCTTCCACTGACTGCACATGACTGACGAGCCTCTCTGAATTTTACCGCCGGGGCTGTTCCCCTCATCGTTCTAGCTCCTCATGTTTTTCACCCTTCTTTTACACCTCGTTCGACTGACTACCTCCCACTACACTTCTGAAAAGGAGGACTGAGCGATGTCAACCGGTGATTATCACGCAAGGTTTCGTCGAGGAAGTACGTTTTTTCAAATCCATTCAGCAAATTACGGGAGCTTGGCGCCTGCGAGACTCGGGGTAGGCCTCCCCGCAGTACACGCATGCCCTCCAGGCGCGATGTAGCCTACCCATCAGGCGCTTTGATAGCTATCTGCAATTAGGTACTCAACGGCGAACGACTACTTTCTGGATAATCCCTTATGACCTGAACTTGATCTACTGGAATACTCAGAGTATTCGATGACTGATGATGAAAAGACTTACCACTATACTAATATGTATTGTCACATTGTTATTTTTTTAGTTTTGTGCTATTATTATTTATTAAGTTGGCTTTGAGACAATCTAGTCTCAGTCATTTAAGTAGTTGTCATTGTGCCTTGCTAGTACGTGATAAACATTCTATAAACTTATTTCATTGTAGAATTTTTCTTGTTTTTTAACTGCGAGTTTTAATCAGTTTTGTTATTAATCTTTGTGTTTTAATTGGATCGTACTGGCCAGTCACTGACAACTCGCATCGAACTGTGATCTAAGACCAAGCCGTTCTTTTTTGAGTTCCAAAATAGAACGGAGCTAGGTTAGGTGTTGGTGTTTGGTAGGTTTTGGTACAAGACTCGTAAATTCAGGAAACTATAGGCAGTTACTGTTCAAATCCGAATCCTTTTTGATTTTTTTAAAACCATGACGGAATCATTTTTTTTCACCTTTTTTGTGCATGTAGTACTGGGAGTATACGAATTTTTAAAATGATGTAACTGCGGCTTTATTTTCGATAAGCCCTACAAAAAGGTCTATTTTGTGAATTGTGCGCAACTGTTGGCGCACAGTAAGATTTTTTCACCTTTACTGTTCATATTTGCAGTACATTATTCATCATTCCTGAGTAACGTCCAAAACGTCTGGGAAGCAAATAATATAATAGGATTAAGTACGTACCCCGACCTCTGTGATTACGTTATAAGCTCTTAATGCATAGATGCATCATGGTACAAAAGACTGTTATTATTTTAGTTTGTGACGCGTATTTTTGTTATGTAGAATAATAGTTGAACGAGTGATGCTGTTGGTGTCATTCATTGTGAATAAAAATATCAGCCATCCATTGGAAAAAAACAAGTCATACGTGCAATTCTTTTTGTCTCCTTTTTCAGGAATACCCTTTACAAAATCACGACGCACGCCGGCTGCGTCGTCCTCACACACGGGGAGCCCCAGCATGCTATTAACACTCCTCAGTTTATGACGCATTGTAAGCGCGTGTGTGCGCTTCTTGCTTTGCACTACTCTACATCTTAACACTTGTTCCCTTGCGACGGTGCCGTTACCGTGCAGCCCCCCCCCCCCTCTCTTTCCACTCCCCGCGGAACACGCGGCTGCTTTTACGTCCCGCCTGCGCGGCTCTCGACAATTGCGCGCGACATAAACGCGCTCAAGTCCCTTTCTCTGCGCGCAGCTCTGATTAGACGAAGATCAGCTGGCAGCGCCGTGGCACGCTACGAGGCGAGCCTAAGGGGTGACCCCTTCCGGCTCCAGGGGGCCCAGCAGGGTGTCGCCGTGACTTATACGACCAGCGAACGGGTAATACTTGCTTTTCCGCCGCCGTAAATTCTTGTCACGCCCAGTCACACGCGAAAATCCCGTTTCGGCGGCGGGAGTTGCGGTGATGGTAATGGCGTTAGGTAATTTTTTTAGCAGATGGTACATGAATCACCGACCTGAAACACGTTCATCGATTTTTTTAAATAATAGTTTAATGGAGTAGCCTGGAGAGTATCCTCTCAGAAAGTCGGGTGAGGTACGACTAACACCAACACGACAGGCATAGAGATGTTCTAAACCCCGCGGACCTGATCCATTTTTTTTTGGGGGGGGGGGGGGGGCTTGCAGCCCGTTTGTGTGGTGGATCATGACATCGTTACGACTAAGAACAACTGCAATTCATAAGTAATGCGCAAAAGTATCGTATACAAAATTTATAAAACCATAAAATCATGGTAAACATTACGTGCA